ACACACACTTACTTCTTGGTGAGCCGGGAGTCCAGTGGAGGATGCTGTGCCCCATAGACAGGCTGAATGCTGCAGGGAGGGGGAAAGAAAAAATCCAAGATGCTGTAAAAAGAGGTCCTGCAAATAATCTCAGCCTAAACTGGGGTCATGCTTCCTGCCTGCTATCAGGAGCTGAACAGAAGCCCAAAAGCAGCTTCAAAAACCTTCTAAGTTACAAGCCTTAGATCCATAGTGCCACATGCAGATGAAGATTTGTTCCTTGCAGTAGTAAAGAGAAGTTTTGTTTAAACTCTTAGGTCTGGTCCAGCCTGAGCTGGGATTTGAGCTCTGCTCCTTCCTGCACCACCAGCTCACTCCGCACGTCCAGGTGTCTCTGCTGCACACACTGACATTTGTTCTCTTCTCCAGTTTGGGGAGCTCACCCTGCCAGGCCCTGTGGGGCAGGGAAGGACCCCAGGCAGTGACACTGGGGCTCCTCCACAAATGCACTCGAGGCTTTGAAGCCCATGCTGGCTCTCAGGATCACAGCCAATGCCACGGAGAAGGAATTCCTGGTAACAATACGTGGTTTGACTTGAGTCCAAATCCTGGTTTAATCAATTACTTCCTATGTGGCCTGAAATGAGTCACCACATCTTGGTGCCTGGTTCCTTGGGACTCATGGGACAAGGAGCCTGAGGGCTCCAGGCCCTACGAGGGCAGCATCACCTCAGAGAGGAGCTACTAAAACCACGTTCATGGCTGTTCTTCCAGCCTCTGGAGGTGAGAAGGGATCCTGAGTTATCACCTGCACTGGAGGGATACTCACAGCCACCCCACCCTGGGAAACAACCTCTGGAGAACAAGTCCTGCAATGCCATGGCACACACAAAGGCCCTTTCAGAGCTGCCACACAAGGAACAGGCTCCTCTTGGGTCAATAGAGCTGGCCTGGTTTCCAGGAGCTGCAGATGGTGCCCGGCAGTAAAAGCAGCAGGCCCAGCCATGGAGGGGAGGGATGGCAGCCTGCTGCAGCTGGGAACAAGCTGAGGATGCAAAAGCAACAGGTCCAGCTGGCAGGGGAGAGATGCAGAGAGCCAGGGGAGAGCTGGAAACAACCAGAGCACAGAGAGATCGGGGGGAGCTGCCCAGCCAGGGTGGGCTCAGCACTGCAGGGGCTGCCCCTCATGGCTGGAGCCCTCCCTGGGCTTACCCACCGAGGATTGAGCCCAGCACAGAGTGTGATGAGCAATGAGCACCTGCAAGTCAGGGCTGCAATTCAGCACAGGCACCTCCACGGGTGGACATAGCAAAGAGATGATGGGGAGTGAGAACAAGGAGCCCTCCAGGTCAGCATTGCTTCCCAGGGACTGTGGCAGGACAGGAGCCAGCAGAGCCTCTCCCATGCCCAGAACCAAGCTCAGAGTCCCAGGATATCCAGGCAAGGCTCCTCCTGCCTGCCAGGGGAGCTGCTCTGATTCAGTGGAAGGTCTGGACTTCACAAGACCAGTGAAGGATGTGTCAGAGAGAGGAGGGGAGAGCAGCCAGTGCTGGGGGAGGGAGGACACCCTTTCCTGGGTTCTGAATCAGTGTTTGATACAACGGCAGAGGGGCCCCCCTGCACACAGCCCTTTCTGAAGTCTCACAAGCCAGACACTCCCCAACATGAACCTCAAGCTGTGCTCCCAGCCTGACTGGATGAGTCCCCAGTTCTGTCCCAGGTCAATCTCCTTGGGACAGGCAGTTCCTGCTCCCTGGATGCTCAGTGACCAGTGGTGTGAGGGACAATGGCTGTGCTCCCTGTGTGACACCTCCAGGACCATCACAGGGTGTGGGTTATGGACCCTGCAGCAGAGCAGAGCCATGAAACAGCACTGCCCCTCTGGACACACAGCACATTTAAGGCTGTTCCTCCCCTTTAAAACCAGCTTTTCAATAACCCCAGCAGACCCTGGCTGCCCATCTCTCTAAAGAGCAGGGAATAAACAACACACCACAGAGGACAACATGCCAGAGCACTCAGCCAACACATCCCTAGAAAATTACCAGGCAGAGAATTCCCAGTGCAAAAAACCACAAGACAGCACTGGAAAAACAAAACAGCATTTACCACTTCTAAACTTCCACCTAAAATCCACCCTAAATCTACAGGGACCAAAGGCTATTAAACTTTATTAGCAAATAAAAGCTAATACAGCTAAGTGACCAAACACACAAAGTGTCATGGAAAAGGAAGCTAACACAGTATCCAAGTCCCTACAAAGCTCCCTCTGCCAGATTGTCAGGGGAAAGAAAGGAGAGAGCCAAGAATCTGCACAGGAGGGTCTCTCAAAGCTCAGACTGAAAAGCAGAAAGGGAGGTTGGTGCCTGGTGACCAGGGGTGCAGGACATCCCACCTGCAGCCTGGGGTCAGGCTGAGGAGCTGTGGGTGCCTGTCCCTGCAAGCAGGCAGCACTGAGGAGGAACAAGGCTCCCGGTGCAGGATACCTGCCAGGCAGGCAGGCAGGACAAGGGGAGAGCTCTGCCAAAACCTTCCCCCTGCACAGCAGCTGGGGCAGGCCCGGCTGCCAGACCGGTTCACCTGGTTTGGGCCTCCAAGGAAAAGCTCAGAAATCACCAAAAGGAGAAGAGAGGTGCTGTCCACGACCTCCAGCTGAGAGCAGGGCTGACACCTTCGGGTGAGAGGCAGGAGCAGCTGGGAAATAACCCAGGGAAAGCACAGGAGTGTCCTCCCACAGGGGCAGCAGAGGAGGAACAGAGAGCTCCTTGCTCTCCCTCTGCTCACACACACAGGGATTGTCCAGCCAACCTGAAGGAGCTGCACAGTGACAAGCACACGAGTGAAAACACTTTAGAAAGAGATATTTAACTGGCCCAGCAGGATTTAAAACCACCTAGGCATTTCAGACTGCACCCATACCCCAGGAGGCAAAGGGCAGGGTTCAGATAAGGCAAATGAGAACAAAAGTGAGGAGCAGCAGGCAGGAAAAGCACTTGAGAAGCCTCCAGAGAGGGGCTGATGCCCTTTTCCATGTCAGCCTTGCTCCCAAGGCGGTGTAGGGAGCCTCTCCTTCATCAGCACCAGCCTCTTCTTCCTAAATACCATGTCCATCACACATTTCACTTGTTTCTCCCATCCATGAGAGGAACCAGGGCATCACACCGGAGGAACAGAGGCAGGGAGGCACCAGCAGAGCCCCCCCAGTCCTTCCCCTTGAGCAGGAGCGACATCCCACACAGGAGAGGGGAACGGGGGGCTCCATGCATTATCAGGGGACACCCCTCGGGGACAGGGCTGCTGCCAGCCAAGGCGACCCCTCTCAGGACTTTGGGAGGATGAGTTTTCTCAGTATCTGTGGAAAGGAACACGGCCCAGCCCCGGCTCTGAGCACACCCCCAAGAGGCCTCCATGGCACCCCGACCCCTCACCCTGCCCG